ATAAAATAAAAAATCAGTCCATCATTTTTAAAAAACCGCCATTATAGAAATTTTAATGTGTGAGGGAGAGAGGTGAAAAAATGGTGTCTTCACAGGGGCGGACTTGAAATTGGAAATTAATATTTCAAATGCATTCCGCACCGGCGTCGAAGATCGTTTGAAAATTGCAATCGACCGAATGTTGCCTATGTTGGTTTCCTTTGACCAATCAGAATTATTATGACCTATGTACAGTCAACAACAAAAGAATACGGTTCTACAGACATGTATGAAAATATAGGGTGATGTCGAAATCATTAAGATCCATTTCAACTGGCTTTTAAAAGTAGCTTGGCTCAAATCGGTTGCATTTTTTATTTATCTGATAACTCCATTATTTATTAACCGATTCGGAAAATTCTTTTTTTTTTATTTGAAAGAATACACTTTCAAATTGTTCCTATAAATATTTTAGCAACATCTGTTCAGTAGTTAATTTTTAAATCAAAATGGTTTTGTCACGATTGAAAACAGTGTCTTCTTTGTTAAATAAAATTTTAAATCAAAAGGGATATTCTTCTATAATTATTAATAATGAGACTGAACATGTTTTTAAAGAAAATATAGGTGGTTTAAGTTTATTTTTGTCGATTTAGTATAAGAGATTCAACGTATTTTTATTATTTTATAAAAAAATATTTTTATAAATTGCATAAAAAACATAACTTCAAATTTTTCATCAAATTATAATTAGAGAGCGGATGCAGGTGGCTCAGAGCCGTTCCTTATAGCAGTCTATAGGGGAGACTTATATTCAGTAGTGGACGGATAATGGCTGGAATGATGATGATGATGATGAACAGTCGTATACATTAATAATATATAATAATAAATAATTGTAAAGTTGTTTTGGTCCAATCGCATGTACAATTTTATCCAAAACTATTCAGCAGTTCCGGCATGATTGAATAGGTATTACGGGCATCTAAATGACTTTAGAATCTTTTATATATATATAACATTAGCGGTATAAGTATAATATTTATATTAATTTCAATTGATAACTGACCATTGTTGAATATAAGCCATTCCCATAAGGAGAGTTTTGCCAGAAGTTGCCACGCTTGGCAGGCATGTTGACAATCACAGTTACAGCTTTTAGAGATGTTTTGAGAGGGACGCTGCTGTCTATCCCTCTACCAGTAAGTTCCTTTAGTCGCTTCTCGCAACATCCATAGGAATGGAAGTGGTGGCTTATATATATTTTATGCCCGAACCACATGGACGATATTTTTATTATTTAAATAGTATTTGATTATTAAAAAAATCTTGCAAACATACGGAAAATCTTAAAAATTCTATCTTTATATATTAAGCAAGTGAACCCTAAATATTTCAGTCAAATTCTAATGAGTTAATAACCGTTTCGATCAAATAATTCATTTCTATTAAAATAGAGGGCTAATAATGGGCTCGTTCCAATAAAGGCCGGTCGACAATCATTCACTGTGGGGTCGGAGGGTGACAATTAAGTTTCCTTTGACAGTCATATTGATTACGTGACCTATTGCCAAGAGAGGGATGATCAAATTTAAATTGAGTTTGCTATAAATTCGGTGCCAACTAATACATATTTTGTACTAGCTATTTTCAGCTGCTTTACCCACACGAATCAATACATAAAATATCCTATGTATTAAGTTAGGAAGTTATACCTATACCTATATACCAAAATTTTATCCAAATAAGTTGACTAGTCTTATCAGAGGGAGACTTTGTAGAAAAGTAATTTACTTGGGCGCCTCTGTCCAATTCGTGTTTTTACCGTGAAGCAGTCGTGTTTACATGGCTGTGTTTCGGTTTGAAGGGTGGGATATGGCAGTGAATTTACAAGGTACAGAGGAATAACACCTGAGTCCTCAGGAATGGCAACGCATGGGGGGAATCATGGGCGAAACAGTATACTCTGTTGTCATAGCTCATGTCTATAGACGACGGTTACCATTTTCCATCAGGTGGGCCGATAGCTTATTTGCCGTTCTCAGTTACATAAAAAAAAATTTGAATGAAAGACCAACAAACATCTATCTATCCAATGATCCATACAAACTTCTATATTTTATAATATTAATATCTTATTTTATTCTCTTAAGAACAGTATAAATTGTTTTTAACAATTTTAAGTAAATGAGATGTAGGATTTAATGACCGAGGGATGGGCAGCAGGGTTCTTGTTAAAACATCTAAGTGTGGTTGCCAATCCGCCTGCCAAACTTGGCAAGAACTAAAAGTCTCCCTTATGGGGATGGCCTATGTTTAGCAGTAGTCAGTTAACGGCAGACATAATTAGATATATTTTTGAAGATCTTTAAGGAGATACATTTCTCTTTAAATGTATTTAATAATAAATTTACATAGAAGGGAATTGATTTTACGACGTGTTAATATAAAATTAATTACCGCAAATTTATTACCTGTTACTGGTATAAAAAGGGATCTATATCAGTTTTTATATAAAATATTGTGTACTAAGTTCCGTGGCTTCACCTATTTAAATTAGTAAGTACATAAAGTATCCTACGTATTAAATTATAATGGTATATGACTTACCAGTGTATCAAATTTAATTCAGATCCGTCTAGTAATTTTTCCGTGATGGAGTAACGGATATCTATCCATTCATCCATTTATCCATCCTTACAAACTTTCGTATTTATAATTGAGAATTACTGACTGTTATATTATTTTTTTTTATACAACTTAGAATGACAAACAAGCTGACGGCCCACCTGATGGAAAGTGATAACCGTCGCCTATAGACATGAGCAGTACCATGGACATAACAGAGTGTACTGTTACGCCCATGATATCCCCCATGCAGAGCCATTCCTGAGGACTCAGATGTTATTCCTCTGTACCCTGTAAATTCACGCCATATCTCACCTTTCAAACCGAAACACAGCCATGCAAACAACTGCTTCACGGTAGAAACACGAATGGGACAGAGGTACCCAAGCAATCGACTTTTGTACAAAGTCTCTCTCTGGTGAAAGAGTGGTAAAGTAAGATTACCACCACCAGATTAGTGGTAAGGAAGTAAAGAACAGGTGTGTCATTTGACTCGTCTATATTTTTGTCAAATATTGGAAGCTAATAAGACACGGAACGATTATATATAGGTATGTAATTCCTCGGATGATATAGTTTTGTTAGTAATGTTTACCATCACCGGAGAGATGGGTCGAAATTTACAAATTAATACGCAAAGGCACCTGTTTCGAATCCAAAACTACGTGGGTATTTTTTGAGTTGGAGTAGTATTAACTACTAGGGTTATTAAGATTTTACTTTGCAAAAAATCTGCTTCAATTTTGACAACTTTAATAGACATAAACTAATAAAGGAATAAGCGATAACGATTGTAAAAAGAATTATCAAAATCGGTTCAGAATTGGTGAAGATAACGAGAGACATACAAATACGTACAAAAATACAATCGCAATTAAGAATCGCGCCCTCCGCTTTTCGGTAGTCCCTTAAATGATTTTTTAATAGGAAGTATCAACTGTTACATTATACTGAGGTATAAAAACGTATCGTTTTATACCTAGGTATAGGCTAGTGTACATAAGCACAATAAAAATAAATAATTTCATAATTAGTCGATATAATAGACAGGTATTAAATAAAAAAAAGACAGGTGCTTCATATAGTTTTTTTTTTAAGTAATTATTATTATATTTAAGAAACAAATCACTAGATTTGCTTGTTAAATAAAGTTATAATCACAATTTATACTTAAGAATGATAATTTTGAAAAGCTAATAAAAAAATATTTAACTTTTTTTTAAAAAAACTATATACAGTACGTGATACATTTTCCATATAATAAATATTGTATATTAGGTAAAAATAATATGAAAAAAAATAATAAATAATAATAAAATAAAGAATAATAAAAAATTACCTATATATACAAGAAACAGGAAGAATTTTCAATATTCTTTTAATGGATCGTTTCTACTACTGAAACTGTACATTTTTTCTTTAAGAAATATGTGTCGAAATACAACAAAAATTTTTAAATCATTTGACATGGCGTGTCGAGCAACAGAGTTAGTATTGGACTGTCTATTTACAACCGACTTTAGAAAAAGAAGAAGAATCTCAATTTGATGGTATTTTTCTATGTTTATTACCTTATAACTCCATCAGTTATAAACCCATTTGGAACATTCGGTAGAATTTTCTCCTTTGGATCACAATCTTAAATTATTTATTATAAGGTTATTTTCACCTTGTATAATATTGATTAAAAAGAAACTTAAAAAGAAATTATTTTAATGAATAAGCAATAAAATGATCTAAAATCTATTTTAACATACACAACTAAGATATTTGTAACCTATAAAGATAGGTAAGTAGCAGTTTAATTCACTTAGTATTTAATTAAGCTTTAAAAATGTTATACATATAATTGTATGAATAAATGAATAAATTGCTACTTAACGATGACAAATAAAAAAAATAAAATAAAACAAAATAATAATATCATCATGAATATAATATATGTATATAATGCCACATCTCGTCTTTTTTAAAACATAAAACACACAGCGCTAAATATTTTGTTCTTCAACATTTAGTTAGACGATTGTTATAAACACAAATTTTATCAGGTGTTTAAATATACTTGCTAAAATTCCTGAATATAATAAAAAATATTATTATTATTATTTAATAATAAGTATAAAAAATTCTTAATTTATTTAGGTAAATAAATATTTTATATTTACAAAAAATATATAAAAATGTAGTTGTTTTGAAAAAAAATTGTTAATTATAAGTAAATTTGCTATCTATTAAATGTAAACTAACTTAATAGATATAATTATTATTAAAAGTCTGTAGGTAATAATAGTTAAGTTGTTGAAAGTTTGTATCTTGTTTCAGCTATGTTGTAAATATTTAAAACAAGTGAAACTGTGGAGTGTTGTGTGTTAAAAAAAATATAAGCATACCTTTAGGTGTAACGACTCTGAAGGCGCTGTTAGACACAGGTCTCGGCGACCCTTCCCTGATGCCACCAGGTGATCCGCTCCCACTTCGCACCATAGAGAAGTCCAACGGCATCGGCGGCATTGCACTTACTTCCATTTTTAAAAATTAAAAAGTTACGTCCGCATAACAAAACTCACTGTTCAAAATATCATTGTTGTTTTTTTAAAAAAAATAAATCGAATGTCAAATGGAATGCCGTTCGAATTGCGATTTGTCGCGATGCGTGCGACCCGCACGGGTTTCAAGTATGTATTAAGGCAGCCACGCACTGTAGCCGCGTTCGCTCGGCTTTCTGTTCGCTAAAGCCGAAAATCTTGTGAATCTCCATACTGATTTGAACCTTATCGGTAGGGGCGTGGTACTAGAGGCCCCGCCTCGGCGTGCCCAGCGCCGCCATGTGCCTCTCGAGTGACAATCACTTTGTATAGGTAACACAATAATATGGTTCGTGATGGATTTTATCGTGCCACCGATGCATTTGTTCGTGACACTTTTTTTTTTAATAAAGTATTCTACTACTTTAGGTTGACTTTTTTGAGTTATGTTAATGCAAAGTAATATAACGACTATGTAGGAATGTATTAAAGATAAATAGTTCCTTATTTAACTACATTCTTTTTTGTGTGAAAAGGAATTTTATAATGGCCATTATTTAGCAATAAATTAAGAAATATATGAAAGTAAGTATAAAAATAAATAATCAGGGTACATAAAAATAGTACATCATATTAATTCAAAAAGTGTAAATTAAAAGATTTTCTTATTTTGTAAAATAAAAATAATTTTTTACTTTATTATATAAATGTTAAAATTGTAATTAAGATTCCTACATCTAGGTACTTATACAAATGGACTGTAGGCTGGTATATATATATATACAAAGCAAAAAAGAGAGAAAAATAAGAAAACCAACCAAAATCTGAAAAGAAAAAATACTTATTTTTAATAATAAAAAAAGTGCGTCGTCCACAGTACCTGCATATATAGACAGTTATATATACAGGGTACAGAAATGAAAATCAATAATTATGAATGAAACTACAAATCTGGGTACATTCTATAGAAATAGAGACAGAAATTTTGTAAAAAAAAAACTTTTTTATGTTTGTTACCTTATAACTTATATATATATATATATATATATATATATATATATATATATATATATATATATATATATATATATATATATATATATATATATATATATATATATATATATATATATATATATATAAAGGCAGTTATAAACCAATTTATAATATACTTTTCTTATATGAAAAAAAAAACTTACAGATTGATCCCACAGAAATTTTATCAAAATCAGTTCAGTAGTTTAGTTTTTAAATAATATCATAATAATAATAATTTAATAAATCAAAGTAACAGATTTTTCCACAATTGAAGTCGGTTTGTTGTGAAACATAATTTTAATGTAAAAAAATAATATAATACGGCACTTATGTAGATAACAGGTAGTTAATATTATGATAGCAACATAATCCTTTAACTCCTTTATTCATAAAAACGTCAAACCTTTTATAAACCCTTTTTTAGCTATTGAACTGTTTTGTCTCTTTCTTTTACGCTAACTTCCCATTTTGATAGAAAGTGACAAAACAGTCTTATAGTTAAAATAGAAAGTTTTAGTTTTTAATCAATTTAAGAAAAGGAGGGGTATATAGCCATTCCTTTTTTAAATTCGAACATATAGTTTGATTGTATATTTTTTATGAATAAAAGATTTAAGGGTTAATTTTTAGGATTTAAGTATCATAATACTTAACACGTCACCAGTGCTCTTTTACATTTTCAACATGCTGAAATATCAAAATTAAAAAAAAAAAACGAAAGGCACGATAATTAAAAAATATCCTTATATACTAAGAAGATAAACGACGTAAAATACTAAAGGCAAATAAATAATGATAAATAAATATTTTTATTTCAGGTAGTTATATGGCCATAATTTACATTAATTAGTGTAATTTAATTTAAATTATATTTTTCACATTATGCGAATATTAATTAATGAAATACCAATTAAAATCATTGTATTATATTATATATTTCTTAGTCATAAGGTAGGTATGCAATATGGAATACCGTCTTAACAATAGGATTACTTATTTTCATTAATTATGAAATTTTGCTTTGCATTTACATAAAATAGCAAATAAATCATAAAAACCATTAGACTTAAAAAAACGAAATCAATTAAAAAGTAATCATTACCTTTAATTGGCTAAGAAATGTGGATTATATTTATATAATTAATAATACTACAGAATGTATACAATAACACTATAAATTGAGTGGTGTGATATACCAAAGTATGTGTTCTCATTAGAAAAAGTCTGACGTATTTTTTTTTTATATTTATTCAAATATATTTTAAATAATTTTATTTTTCTTATCTATCATACTTATAAAAATACCCAAATATAATTTTTATAATCGTGGTGCAAATCCAAAAAGTGGAATCCCTAAAATAATAAATGTATATTTTTTTACCATTTACTTAACATAAATTACATAACTTATAATCCCGTAAAATGGTGGTATACAGAAGCTATATTTAAGTTTATTTTTATTAGATTAGCTATCTATAAATTTATGACTCTCGGAATATAAATATTTGATATAAATCTTATATAAGCACATTAATTAAAATTACAGACAAAACCGTGTAAAATGTATGAAACAAATATGAGTATAATCCATTCGTATTTTGGGTAAAAAATACCTACAAAACTAAGATAAGGTATAGTTAATTATTTATATTTATTTTTAATTAGGATTATAACACTCTTTAAGAAAATAAAACTAAGCTGTTGATAACGCCATATGGTGTTATGTCCACCATTTACACTAAGTACAATAAATAAGTTTAATAAATAAAATAACTAATTTATTTATTTAATTAAACATTTAAAATAATTTAATTAATTAGTATTAAAGTGTATAAAATTTAAGAAAATAATATAATCAAAAAAGAACGTGCATATCCGTCGAGTGGTGACAGAATTATCCTTCGAACAGATTACGTCCGACGAATTAACCCGCGCCCCCTGGCGTCACGTACTGACATTTAAAACAATGAACGCTTCAATTTTTCACCGGCAGCCCCCGAAACCCGGCGGATACTTGCTAATCCGGCCCCTGTCGCTATGAAGTGTTATTCCGTGATGCAATATTTTTTAAATGGAAAATAGGAATAAAATTTTATATATTATAAGAAATTATTATTTTATTTAATATATTTTATATTATTTACATTAATTGTAAATATTTTAATAATTAATTTTTTTTAATGTATCACTTTTAAATTCAAATATTTACGTTCAAGATGGACACATACGCGTAATAATTTAGTCGAAATTAATGTTCGTTCTTTAAGAATTTAGTTTATCAATACGTTCAAAAAGACACTACTTATCTGCTTTTTTTGTTATGCAATATATTCTGTATTTATAAATTCTGAACTAATTTTGAAAATTATGTGCAGTTTAACGCACTAAAAATGCAAATAAAATATAATCCTTCTTATTGATCTCTTTTTTCTACAAAAACAAAAGCGTTTTGAGTCTTACTTCATCATGCGCACGCCCAAGGAGTGGAATTCTCTCCCTGCTTATGTTTTTTCATTAAAATACAATCTACACCAAATTAAGGTAAGGTAAGGTAGAATATTAAAGTAAATATTGACATTTGAGAAAGAAATGTAAAGTATCACACACAAGCCCAAGAGGTTTAAGTGGTACTAAAAAATCCAGTTTTTTTTTAATGTATTTATGCATGCTCATTAAATTAAAAAAAAGGAAAATGTGAATAGGCTACTCGTGGGCCTGCGAGGCCCATCTTAGACCACATTATCGCTTTCCATCAGGTACGATCGTGGTCAATAACGGGATCCTTTCAATACCTAGTAAAAAAAAGAAATGTGAATGTGGACTGAGCTCCAGAATAAGGACATGGGCTTGCTTTTGCGAAAACTAATTACACCCCCGCTTCGCAATGATAAAGCAAAGCCGTCGTATAGGATATTTTTATTCGGGACAAAATGAAATTCCCGTGCGTAAAACCGTCAAGCTATTTGATACTCTACCGCTTACTATTTAAAGCTCACTCTCGTATAAAACAATTCCTTCGTCGACTGAGTTACGGAAAAATTTTTAGTACATACCCAGCAAAAATAATCCTGGCATAATCTCACCGGGCAAATCCCATTATTTTGATCATCCCCTCGATTGTACACGCATACTGTAATAGCCAGGTTTCATCTGAACAATAAAATATTTTTTTCACAATAAAAATAGAACACTCTGTAGTAGGGGGAAAGGGAGTCTTAGTAATGTGTCTAATTTCCCCATTACTAGCAATACACCCTATCAGGTTGACCTTTACGCGGTTCCCCCTAGAAACTATCATGGTTAATTCCAGTGGAATTCGTGACAATGGGCTAACGGACCTGCTTTCATCATCATCATTTAAAGGATGTTAACGATTTTGAACTTCACTCAGTACAGATATTACATACATACATACATACACACATATCTGTAACGCCTGTCTCCCATTAGGGTAGGCGGAAACAATGGAACGCCAAATGCTTCGATTCAAACAAACCTCTTTCGCTTTATTCACATTTATCAATCTTTTCATACACGCTCGCCGGTTACGGGTACTTTTAATTTAGTCCTTCTTCAGCACGTCACCTATTTGGTCAACATACGTCCGTCTAGGGCGGCCCCTACCGACATCTCCATTCATTCTTGCTCGATAAATCTCCATCCATCCTCTCCAAAATCTGTAAAATTACAATATTTCTGTTTTTTTTTTTTTATATTTTGTTATTTTATAAAAATATAAACATAATTAATAAAGAAAAGACTTAGATGACAGTATCTGCAAGGTTATTTGGGCACCTTTTTTTTAATGGATGATAATGGAATGGTAACCACGCTTGCGTTATCGGTATATACTGGCGGGGCATCAGTGAGAGATGATAGGTGAGGATGGAGCAGGTCAGTTAGCCCACCGTGGCGAATGTAACAATTAATCAATCACGATGGTTTCCAGGGGAACCACGAAGAAATCGATCTGACAGGGTATATTGCTAGCAATGGGGCTACTAATACCCATTACTAACAATCCCTTCTCTTTTTTTTTTATACAACTTAGAATGGCAAACAAGCTAACGGCCCACCTGATGGAAAGTGGTAACCGTCGCCTATAGACATGAGCAGTACCATGGAAATAACAGAGTATACTGTTTCGACCATTATACCCCCCATG